CGGGGCTGGAGCCGAGCTGCAGCGGGGCGGGCAGGGACCTTGTGGCTCACCTATGAACTTGATGGCCGCCTCTCGCACAGGCTCGTCTGGGCTCTCCAGGTACGGTAGGGCCTGGCGTAGGTAGTTGGCCACTCGGTTCCTGTCCTTTTCCAGCTAGAGAGAATGGCAGGGCAAAGAGGGAATGGTTGCTTCGAGCTCTGCCCCTTGGCCGGGCGCTGCCTGTGCCCAGCACTGGCCGCACACCCCAGGGAAGGCAGCAGCAGCTGGGGCGCAGGCTGCTGTCCCACAGGGACTGCAGCAGTGGGCAGGGGCACAGTGCCAGCCCCACACTTGAAGCATGGGGGACTGGGGCTTCGAGTCCATCCTTACCATGCACTCGCCAAATTTCAATGGCTGCTCTGTCTTCAGCAGCTGCTCGAGATCCTTCCTCTTCAGAAATTTGGCTACACAAAGCAGCGCTTCCCGAGAGGTCTGCAGAGCAACAGAGTCCAGGAGATGGCACCACAGCCCACCATGGGACCTGTGTCCTTGGACCAAGGCCAGGAGGAGGTAGTCCAGCCTCCTGCCACGGGAACACCAGAGCCTAGAAAGTCCTCACCTGTGCCACTTGCTGGTTCTCATCATGCCAGTAGAGGAAGAGTGGTAGCAGGTTCTGGACCATATGCATCTTCAAGGCCTTCTTTCCCTCATCCACTACCGACTTCATCACCTCTTGGAACAGGTGAATGGAGAGGATCTGCACATGGCTGTTGTCCTGATGGAAAGGAAGAGGAAGAGGCCTCAGCACTGGCTTCTCCAGGCCTATCTGGCATTGGCTTGCAAATCCACAAGGAGCAGTTTCCTGGCAGCACCCAGCACCCCTAAATGGGAGCACAAAACCTTACACTGTCAAAGAGTGGCCGCAGAGCCTCAGCCAGCTTCAGGGCGGTGGGGCTGGAGGTTAGGATGTCTTTGTTTTGCAGCATATTCAGGAATATTGGCAAGGCCAGCTCAACCAGCTCGACATCTGCATCCCACAGGAGCTTCACGAGACTTTCCGAGAGGCTGCACATTCTCTTGGCCTGTGAGGAACACAAGGCTGTGCTGTG